GGGGCATATATATTTATGATTGTTATGTCTTGTTGGTGTATGGTTCCCTTGAGCAGTATGTAGTGTCCCTCTTTATCCCTTTTGATTAACTTTGGCTTGAAATCTATTTTATTTGATATGAGTATGGACACTCCTGCTTGTTTCCAAAGTCCATATGAGTGATATGATTTTTCCCAACCTTTCACCTTCAGTCTATGTATGTCTTTTCCTATCAAATGCGTCTCCTGTAGGCAGCATATTGTTGGTTCTTGTTTTGTGATCCATTCTACTAGCCTGTGTCTCTTAATTGGTGAGTTTAAGCCATTAACATTTAGGGTTATTATTGAGATATGGGTTGTTCTTCCAGCCATATTTGTTTATTTATGTTACTAAACATGGTTTGTTTTCCTCTTTGATTATTTTCCCCTCCTTTACTGTACTACCTCCCACTGTTGGTTTTCATTGTTATTTTCCATTTCCTCTTCCTGTAATGTTTTGCCAAGGATGTTTTGAAGAGATGGTTTTCTAGCTGCAAATTCTTTTAACTTTTATTTATTGTGGAAGGTTTTAATTTCATCTTCCATCCTGAAGCTTAATTCCGCTGGATACACAATTCTTGGTTGGAACTCATTTTCTTTCAGTGTTTGAAATATGTTATTCCAGGATCTTCTAGCTTTCAGAGTCTGTGTTGAAAGATCAGCTGTTATCCTGATTGGTTTACCCCTAAATGTAATCTGCTTCCTTTCTCTTGTAGCTTTTAAAATTCTCTCCTTATTCTGTATGTTGGGCATCTTCATTATAATGTGTCTAGGTGTGGATCTCTTATGATTTTGCACATTTGGCATCCTGTAGGCTTCTAGGATTTGGGATTCTGTCTCATTCTTCAAGTCTGGGAAGTTTTCTCGTATTATTTCATTGAATAGATTGCTCGTTCCTTTGGTTTGGACCTCTATACCTTCCTGTATCCCAATGACTCTTAAGTTTGGTCTCTTTATGTTATCCCATATTTCTTGGATGTTCTGCTCATGGTTTCTTAACAGTCTTGCTGAGCTGTCTATGTTCTTTTCAAGTTGAAATACTTTGTCTTCATTGTCTGATGTTCTATCTTCTAAGTGTTCTACTCTGTTGGTAGTATTCTCAATTGAGTTTTCATGTTGGTTTATTGCTTCCTGCATTTCTAGGATTTCTGTTTGTTTTTTATAACCTCTATCTCCCTGTATAGTTGATCTTTTGCTTCTTGGATTTGTTTATGTAATTCATTGTCGAAGTGATCTTTCATTGTCTGATTTTGCTGTCTAATGCTTCCTTGAGACTCCAGATCATCTGAAGCATGTATATCCTGAATTCTTTATCTGACATTCCATCTGCTGCAGCTATTACCTCTTCTAAAGTTGAGTTGACCTGCATTGCTTGTGGTCCTTTCTTTCCTTGTCTTTTCATACTGCTCACGTTTCTTTCTGCTTGGTGAAGCTGTTGTGTTATTGAAATTTTCCCCCTATATATTTATATTGCTCTTGTATAGTTGAAAAGTCTCCCTTGCAGGGGCGGGCGGCGGCTGTGCTCCTCCTCCAATTGGGGTGATCTGTCTACCATGCTGACGGGCCGCTGGGCCTGTTCTGCCGGTCGGTCACAGGTCTGCCTACCTTGCAGGCGTGGGCGGCGGCTCTGCTCTGCCCCTACTCCAATTGGGGTGATGTGACTACCACGCCGGCGGGTTGCTGGGCCTGTTCTGGGCGCGGGCAGTGGCTCTGCTCTGCCCCTACTCCAACTGGGGTGACGTGTCTACCATGCCGGCAGGCCGCTGGGCCTGTTCTGCCGGTCGGTCGCAGGTCTGCCTACCTTGCGGGCACGGGCGGCGGCTCTGCTCTGCCCCTACTCCAACTGGGGTGACGTGACTACCACGCCGGCAGGCCGCTGGGCCTGTTCCGCCAGTCGGTCGCAGGTCTGCCTACCTTGCAGGCGTGGGCGGCGGCTCTGCTCTGCCCCTCCTCCAATTGGGGTGATGTGACTACCACGCCGGCGGGTTGCTGGGCCTGTTCTGGGCGCGGGCAGCGGCTCTGCTCTGCCCCTACTCCAACTGGGGTGACGTGTCTACCACACCCGCGGACCTCTGGGCGTGTTCTACCGGTGGGTCACAGGTCTGCCTACCTTGCGGGCGTGGGTGGTGGCTCTGCTCTGCCCCTACTCCAATTGGGGTGATGTGACTACCACGCCTGCGGGTCGCTGGGCCTGTTCCGGGCACGGGCGGCGGCTCTGCTCTGCCCCTCTGGCTTGATGACAAAGTGAGAGAGACTCGGGTGTTTGTGACTCACTTTCTTTACCAGGAGACCAACTGTTTCTGTTGCCGATGGTATCGATGAAGTTATCTCCTCTGCTGCTTTCTGATGACATCAGATCTCTGCCATGTTGGTATCCCATGCGAATGGCAGCATTTCGTTCCCTTTGCCGGGTGACCAAAGCAACAGGTGGGTCCTGACTGGCCCTCACAAGCCCCGTCTCAATCCTGTTGCCACTGCCTATGAAGGTTCGGTTGGTATTTACCTCCACAGTATTCAGCATGACCCGGACCGAGAAGCAGTTTCCGCGGGTTCCTTAGCCCTGGGCCAGAGCAGTTCCGGGAGCTAGAATTCGGCTGCTCCGGGCTCGGTGTATGTTCTGATAGGAGCAGGCCCCTTAGCCTAATTTTAAAGGAAACTGGGACCCAAAGAGTTCAGGGTAATTCTTTAATCACCCAATTCTTTAAAATTTTAACAATGTGTGACTACTAGGCAATTAAAAATCACTTATGTGGCTTGCAGTTGTAGCTCATCTCATATTTCCATTGGAAGGTACTGTTCTAGACAAGTACATTTCTCTTGGTAAATATGCTTATGAGTCAAATGTGGTCCTCTGCCTGTTTTTATATGGCTCATGAGCTGAAAATGGGTTTTACATTTTTTAAAAGGTGGGACAAAATTTTTTAAAAGAATAGTATTTCATGAAAATGACATGAAATTTGAATTTTAATGTCTAAATAAAGCTTTATTAGGACACACCCACGCACATTCATTTTTGTGTTGTGTACGGTGCTTTCATGCTACCATGGCAGAGCTGAGCACTTACAACAAAGATCTTATGGCCCATCAAGACTAAAATATTTCCTGTTTACAGAAAGTTTGCTGACCCCTACTCTAGACCACTCTCTGACCTCTTTCCTGACCACAGGCTCTTGGACTACTAGCTGCTCTCCTGAACGGCTCCCCTGTCTACTCCTCATCCTGGATCCTAGACTTACACCAAAGCCCACCACCCTGCTTTTTGGCTCTGCACCCGCAACCTACTGCCATCTGTAGCCCTGCCATGGATGGGACGTCATTCCCTCTCAGTCACTTAGAGCTGCCACACTGGGCTCCCATGGAGGTGACTTGTGTGTGACTAAGTGAGCCATTCTGCCTGAGCTTGTGTCTGATGTTGCCATCTTGGTATTTTGGTTCCTGTGGGCTGTGGTTTGCCATAAACCAAGCACAAACACATTGAAAACACCAGACTCAAGGATTGCTGCAGGAGACAGACAGACGGTGGTGCTGTCATGGCGATGCTGTCTCCGAGATGGGGATGACCATCTGCTGTTATCAGTGTGGAAGATGCCGCTCGGGGAGGAGAGCATTGAGGGTGGAATGAAGAAGTATGTTTCCAAACTTGGATGTGGTGGTGCGTCCCAAGAGAGCACAGCACAGTGCCGGTGGTGAGAGGGCAGCTTCCAGGTCCCCAGGGGAACTTTCCTCCTTCACTTCCAAAAGTGCCTCCCACCACCACAAATCATCTTTTAAAAAAGAAAATTATTTTATTTTTTACACAAAAAAAGAAATACATAGTTGCTATTTATATATGATTTGGTCTGGGACAAATTTAGGTTTGCAGATGATTATGCCGACTCCCCCAAATGTCTCTTTTCCCATCAGGATCCATCAGTACCACTGACTGTCTTCCTGGCTCTGTTTCTGTAGGATGAATTCTTTCTCAGGAGGTTTTTGGATCATAGTTTAAAAAGCTTTCATGTAGTTTTTTTTTTTTAAAACCATCAGCTTATCTAACTTTCCTGGTCTCCCTGAATCTCTATAGTAGGTACAAATTAGGTTCCAGGGCTGGGGACTGGTTCAGTGGTGCTGTATTTGCCTAGCATACATGAGGCCCTAGATTCAATCCCCAGCACTGAAAAAAAAATTAGTTGCAAGATTCTGATGAGCTTGGCTATGAATTCTTCAAGGTAGGAACTGCAGTTTCAGCTTGGTACCCTGATGCATAGTATGGTGCCTGTCCATAAGCAATGCCCCTATATATGTGTGTTTCTTTTCCTATTCATTCAGATTTAGTGACAACTAGTAACCTGGAACTGCCTGCATCAGCCTTGCTAGTCCTTCTCTGTGCCTTTTCTGTCTGCGTTCTTTCCTACTCTGGTCTGTCCCATTCCTTCCTTCTGGGCGTCTTACTCAAGCATTCACTCCTCTGACTTGTCCTTTTAACTCCTGTGAAAACAATTGTACCCCGCCCCCCTCCATATCACATTTGTTCAAGGCCAAGGTCATAGTAAAGGAAATGGAAAAACTCCCAGGAGATCAGTGCTAGTAGTCAAGAGAAGTTAAAATGGACCCACATGGCACCTGGTAGAAAGTATTCTTTTCTGTCTCAATGATTCCTTAGAATGCCTGTAATCCCAGTGACTTGGGAAAACTCAGGCAGGAGTTTCACAAGTTTGAGACCAGCCTCAGCAACTTAGCGAGACCCTGTCTCAAAATTAAAATAAATAAGTAAATAAATAAATAAAAAGGGCTGGAAATGCAGCTCAATGGTAAAGCACTGCTGGGTTCAATCCCCAGTACCAGGAAAAAAAAAAAAAAAAAAAAAAAAAAGGACTCCTTAGATTTCTAAAGGACTGTTATTTGTGCATATAGAATAAACTCCTCTTTGTCAGGACCATTTGAAATTGGTTTTGCTCTCCAATACATAACGTGCCTTGAGTAGAGCAATTAATTTCAGAGGTGCCTCTGTGGTTTTAGGAAGTTTCACTGGAGTCCATTATATGGAGTTTTTTTTTTTTTTTTTAATGTGTGATCTCTATAACTCAAAGTAAGCATGTGAAACTCCTTCCTTGGGGAAAATTAAATATCAGAATTTTTATTTGCATGGGTTTCTGGTATTCTCAGTTATTCATTCATTTAGCCCTTTATCCATTTGGTGAATATCTGCTATACCCTCTATAAGTAAAAAATGGGACATGACTAGGGATTTCCTGTCACAAAGGTTCCAACTCACATGAACATTGGCAAGTGAGGACATATGTTAAGCAAACTACAAGGGAAATGTCAGGTAGAAATAAGTCAAAGCAGAGAATTAAAACAGGGTGATGGTTAGTGGGTGGATATTTTGGGTTGGGTTGTCAGGGAAGGCCGCTTTCAGAAGTGGCAGTGAGACCAATATCTGAATGTCAAGGAGAAGCCAATCTGGAGGTTGGGAGAGAGAAAGTCTCTAAGATGAGATGGAGTATAGTGAACGTGCAGTGGAGATGGGGGATGATGACAAGCACAGACATGTGGGCAAGGGCTGCAGCCTGTAGTGCTTTTTAAGTGGGGGGATGGAGAAAATTATTCTAAGTATTAGGGATATCCCTGGAAGTCTCCCATTTAAAAAGCAGCTTCATTGAGGTATCACTATATACCATAAAATGCACCCGTTTCAAGTGTGCAATTAGATGATGTCGAGTACGTCTTCAGAGGTGTGCCACCGTTGCCGCAAGGTGGTTTTGGAACACTTCCATCAGCCCTGCTAATTTCTGCTCCTTCTTTGTAGTCATTGCCTGTCACCACCCTGGTTCTTGATGACTCTTCATCTACTCACTGTCCCTATTGGCTATTTGATATGAAGGAATCATATAATGTGTTGTGTTTTGCATTTAACTTCTTTCCCTAGCTCCTTTGATGATTTGTGATGGACATGTGGGGAGATTACTGGCCATTACAGGGAGGAAAGACTGGAGAGAGGCAGCCAGGGGAGCAGGAGGACCAGTTAATACACAGATGTAGTTGCCTAGGCAAGCTTTACAGTGCTGAGCACAGGGGCATGAAGGAGTTCAGAGAAGTAGCTGAGCTTGTGGTAAGGTTTGGAAGAGAAAGAAGGATGCACTGATCAATTGGATGTGGTATGGGAAAAGCCTGGTGGGAGAGGAACAGAGAATTTTGTTTCCATGTGTCTTTGTAGATGAATCTACTTGACCCAAACACATTTTGGTGTGTGCATTTTGGTGGCTGCCTTCTCTCTAGGCTAAAGAGCAGTCAGGTGACAACTGGGAAAAATTCAAGTCTCTACTTGGAAGACTTCATTATTTAGCTAATCCAATACCCATTCCTTTTTGGCTCGCCTGCTTTGTAGAGGCTGAAAAAGCTAAATACTCATTTCCTCTGCCTTCCTTGATCCTAGAAATGATTTTATTCATAAAAAAGATGAGCAGCTGATACCATCTCTGGTTTTTCCTTCCTGGAACATATAGATCAAATGCCTGGAGCGGAAGCAGCCTGCATGTAGCCACATGGGAGAAGCTCAGAAGATCAGCAAGAAATTAGCCCTGCAATCACGGAGCTGTTCTCAGTTGTTCACCCAAAGAATTCTTATGTGGAAAAGAAATTTCTTATTTCTTTAAACTAGTGATCTGTTTTATATTACTTGCAGCCCAACTCATTCCCCAATGATACAGGGACCTGTAGAATGACACAATGTTTTGACCCAGAGAGGATGTATCTGCACTTCTGCCCTGAGGTCAAACATGAGGAGGGAAGTGTGCTTCTGTCTCTGTGTTAGGAGAGAGATCAGGACGTGGGCGGCAAGCTGAGAAGCTGCCTAATGTACTGATATTGATCACCCTGGGTTATCAGGAGAAAGGTCTTAATTGAATATGTCCAGGTCCCCTAGACTCTGTTGTTTAAACCACAAGCTCAGGTCCAGCTCCCTTTGAGGGTCAGTTTGGGGCTTTTCTTTTCATTTTTTTTTTGTACCAGGAATTGAATCTAGGGGTGTTTAACTATGGAACCACATCCCCAGTCCATTTTTGTATTTTATTTAGAGACAGGGTCTCACTGAGTTGCTTAGGACCTTGCTAAGTTGCTGAGGCTGGCTTTGAACTCTCAATCCTCCTGCCTCAGTCTCCTGAGCCACTTGGATTACAGACATAAGCCACCACACCCGACTGGGCCTTTCTCTATCTCTCTTTTTAAAAATGGCTAGCCACCTTAGCCATTTCCTTTATATATTTATTTATTTTTAATTTTTTTTTTTAGTTGTAGAAAGATGCAATGCCTTTATTTATTTATTTTTATGTGGTGCTGAGGATGGAAATCAGTGCCTCACATGTGTCACATACTAGGCAAGCACTCTACCTCTGAGCTATAACCCCAGCCCAGCATTTCTCTCTTAATGGTGGCAAAGGTTCTTACTTGATTGGTATGGCAACTTGGTTTCTCCTCTGTTCTTCATCTACCTAACCCTGATCTTAAGACTCTTGTCTCTTTTTTCACTCTGGGCTAATAATCCTTGGCCAGTAGTTCTCAAGGGGGTTGGGGGTGGGATACTGCCTCTCCCAACTCAGGGAACTTTTGGCAATTCTTGGAGACAATTTTAGTTGTCAGAACTTTGAGGAGCTGCTGTTAATATCTAGTGGGAGGAGGCACAGTTTCTTCTAAACACATCCAGTGCACAGGACAGTCCCCCCACAATAGTAATGCAACCCAATATGTCACGAGTGCTAAGTTGAAAAGTTGTGCCCCAGACTATAAGCCAATGCATCATTTTGGTTGAAATCCTTGGCTATCCATTAGCTGACACTTGATTTGTATCCCCAATAACCACTGAATATATAGCCCCAGCCCCACAACTCAACACAGATGGGTTACTACCCTCATGAAGCCTGATCTTGACTCCTGAAAAAGGGACTCAGAGAAATGTTGTCTTGTTTTCCAAGCAAGCCCAGAAGGAAAGAAACGAAGACAGGAGCTATTAGGGTAAAGTGTGGGGCAGCCTTGTCTGAGTAGCAGAGGTGAAATGGAACCTTGACTCTGTCAGATAAGGCTGAAGCCCTGCTGCTTGAAAGAACTGGAGGCAAATTAAACTGTGACATCGCTCAAGCTGTAACATTGGTTGGAAAGTAAAGGCAGAGGTGGGGAGTGGGAGAGCAGAGGGCCAGACGTTCCACCGAGGCAAGGGACCTTCGACACGGAGATAACACCCACCTCAGGCAGCCTCTCACACTCTTCCAGGGGAGCAGGGAATAATCACTGACTGTCCAGGGCCTGATTAGCCCTGAGTCTGGATGGAAAGGCTCCTGTAGCACCTGGCTGTAGCTGCAAGACTGGCATTTCTTAACAGGATGAAAGGATTTCTTCTCACCCACTCAGGTCTGTTCTGTCACATTGGATAAATTTTCTGATATAGTGCATGAGTCAGGAATCAATTTTTTTTGGTTAATTAGGCATTTTGGTTAATACAGAATGAACATGAGGCTATGGAATGGTAGCAAGAGTCCTGAGCTTAGTAGAGTCAAAGACACGTCTCTATTGCTTTCTTGTGAGTCACAGTAATTATCTAAGCTTCAGGGTTTGAATTCGCTAACTGAGCATCCCACACCTGTCCAGGCCATCTGTTAGTGATGATGCACAAATCAAATGAGGTGATGTATGTAGGAGTGTTTTGAATATTACATATTAAAATATACATATATATAAATATACATATTGAAGATGTTATGTTATCAAGTACACCAACCATGAATTGCTAGTTTCAACAAATCAGAATAAAATAAAGTATACATGAAGTTCAAACTATATAGAGCATGGAGTTTAGTCTCTTTCTTGATACAAACTTTTTTTTTTTAGTATTGCAGAGAAAAGGAAAAACAAAACTTTCACAGTCATTGTCCTGAGTTCTGGCCTCTAAAGAGAAAAAATGTGGAGTTGACTCTGTGTTCAGTGAGAAACATTAAGATGTTTGATATCATGTAAAAAGAGACTCAGGAGTATGAGTCCAGAGGCAATTTTTTTTTTGCATAATAATGAAGGGAGAGGAGTTGAGTTTCAGAAGGATCCAGAGAGGGAAGTGAGCCCAGACACCAAAGGAGAGAGGGGACTGAGCCCTGGGCAGTCATCAAACTCACTGGTCAGATCGGATGCACCTATTACTTCCTTCAGTGGCTCCAGAGAGCCTTTCCACTGTGGGACAGATTGTCACCACAGAAAAGGGGCTGAGTTTCAGATCCATGCCAGAGGGGCAGAGAAGAAGAACGCTGTGGGTGATGGTAGTGAAGCCAGGTTTTCATCTGGAGCCAGAAAACTCAGAACCACAATGTAGAGTGACCACTGAGGACTCTCCCAATCTTACCACTGAAAATTGATGTCCCAGGAAGCCCCACGGTGCCAGATAAATGGGGCTCCTTGGTCAGCTGCTAAGTGATGCTGGGATGGAGATATTCAGGGTTTTCAGAGATCTTGGGAAGGCCACGGGACTTTCACCAGGCATGGATGGAAGAATGGGACTATTAAAAAATCTCCAAGGACAAAATGATATCATGTTAATATATATGCTTGACAGTTTAGGTTAATATGAGATTGAATTGACAAAGGAGGCAGAAAAGAACCTAGGTCTTGCTGTTTTTTTTTTGGTGTAAGTAAACATTCCCAAATCCTGGAATTTTCTGGGTTCTTATTGCTTTGGTTCATCTTAAAAGAAGAAGATTTGTAAGGCTCTTGCGTGTGAAATTCAGGGTAAGCAAGGCAAAATGAACCTGTAAGCATTCATGAAAAGACAAACACGAAAACCCAAAAACCACCCCATTTTATTTGGAAATGTTTCAAAAAGCTGTAAAAAATAGAATAGTCCACAGACCGTCAATATGCTGTATATCCAGATAACCTGTTGTTAACATTTTACTCATTTACTTTATGATTTGTAGCCTCTCCTTATGTACATAAATACAAACATACACTTATAATTTTTTTCTGAGAAATTTGAAAATAGACTACATACATCATGACTCTTGCAAATACTTTATGTACCTTTTAATAAAATACATTTTGTTACATGTCAACGTCAATAATTTAACATCAATGTGATACCTTACCATGCATATTCCAATTTTTGTCAATTGATCCAATAATGCCCTTTATAGTATTTTTCCCTCTTCAGTACAAGAACGAATGTAGAATCAAGTATTTCCTTTAGTTATCATGTCTCTTTAGTTTTCTTTAATCTGGAACATTTTGCAGTCTTGATTTGTCAGATATGACATTGACATTTGTGAAGGTACAATCCTGTTTTTGTGTTTCATAGAAGCTTCCTTGCTTTGAGATTTTTCTGATGTTTTCTCATAGTTAGATTCAAGTGATGCATCCCTAAATCTCTCTAAGAGATTCTGTGTCCCTCTCAAGGTACCACGCTTAGAGGTACCCAATGTCCACCTGCCTCTCACAGATGATGTTAACTTTGACCACCTCATCAAGGCAATTGCTTGCTGCTCTGTATAATTTCGAGTCTCCCCTCATGTGTCCATTCTTAATTCTAATTAAGATATTAGCCTCTCCTATGACTTCAGACCTGACCTGTCTGTCCCCCCATGAGCAGGTGGAAGGTGTAACATGTTTTAGTTTCTATTTACAGTTTAAGATAAGGTTCTTATATTATTATTTTTATTTTATATTTTATTTCTGGAACCAAACCAAGCTCTGAAGTTTGCTTTGTATTTGAGGAAAGCAGTGAAAAAAAAATAAAGCCAAAACCCATAAAAGCAAAACAAAAATCACAGGATAAAGCCACCCCACCCCGGGTGCTCTGTGTCCTCCACTGGAGGAGATGATTGGGTTTCCCGGAGCCAACCATTGTAAGAGTAGAATTCTGTTTGCTGCATCTTGATGAGAGCTCTACAGAAAGATTCTTGGAAAAATGAGAGGAAAATGGGCTAACGTCTCAGTGATTAAATGGCAGAGGAAAAAATTAAATTTTTTCTAGTTAGGAGTTCACATCCTGTGTACCACACTGACTCAGATAAGCAGGGCAGCGTTAGTAAAGATGAATGCGAAGAGTCGATAGTGAGTGAAAACAAGTCTGATTCCAAGCAGGAACGGTGTTGGCCTGATATTCTTTCAAGGGCTAACCTGGACCTTGTAGAAGCTCAGTATCATAAACTAAGACAGAACTGCTCCACTTCTCTCCAGCGTGTGGCCTTCCTCTTATCTGCCTCTTCTATTGTCAGCTTTCTCTTATGCCTTAACCTTGTGGTCAGTCACCTTTGACTTTGTTTCCTGGTGTCCTTTCAAAATTTCCCCCCCCTGGTGTGCAGTTTTTTTTTTTTTTTGGGGGGGGGGGGGGGGGGGGGGGAGGGACGGTACCGCAGATTGAACTCCAGGGCACTCGACCACTAAGCCACATCCCCAACCCTGTTCTATATTTTATTTAGAGACAGGGTCTCACTGAGATGTGAAATGATCACTAGTAATGAGTGCCTTGCTTCCTAGGACATTGGATACTTGTTTATTCCCCTTGTGACCAGCTCAGCCTGACCTCAGGGACCCCAGATGAGGAGGCACATGAGCCAACTGTGTCAAGTGAACTGCATTAGACCCCAACCCCTGATGCAGTTGTCCTTGTACAATTCCCACTG